AGTGAAGACTCGGCGCCCTGCGGGGCGGCTACCCACTCCTGGGACAGGGTTAGCGCCTCTTACTTCTGCCCAGGGTCTTGTTGAGGAACCGGCAGAAGAGGCCCGGTCATTCAGTCTTCTGCTGGCAAGCTTTTCTCCTCCCTGTGAAGGACAAAGAGCGAGAGGCCCTGGGCCCCGTTGCAGGAAAAACTGGCAACGAGAGGGTTGCCCCCGCTGCACAGTGGGCGCGGCTGCAGGGCCGTCCGTTGGGGGCCCCTGGGCGCCCTGCCTCGGGTACGTGCTGGAAGGGTTAAATGAGGTAATACATGCAGTTTGACTGGAAAGCTCCTTGGCAAAAAACCCACTCCAGATCCCTTGAGAAATGTTCACCATCGGCGTCGTTTTTGCTGTTGTTAATCTGATGCCTGGCACACAGCAGGCACTCAATACATGCTCATGGGTTCATTGCTGGCTCCTTGGCCCCACTTCCGAGGACCTGCAAACCGTGCGTGAGCAGAGCAGGGGGACTGGGTGGGGGTGGGGTTAGGGCCTTGGCCACAAGGTGGGGGCTGACGGGGACACGGGGCTGAGCCAGGGGTGCAGGTGGGGGCGGGGATGGGCTGGGGGCCCAGAGCAGCCCCAAGGACGCTGGTGGTTTTTCTCCCCAGCCAGGTGGGTGTCTGGGAGGCTTTGCTTGCCGAGGACGCTGCTGATTGCATCGCTGTGGCGTGTCTCCCCACCTGCCTTCCTCAGAGGCACCCGTGCGGCCCGTCAGGGATCTGTCTAATCAGCCTCCAGGGACGGAGTGGGGCTGCTCTGAGCAGATGGCACACGCGTGGAGCCTGGACGTTAGGGGAAACGCGGGGCTTCGGGGCCCCCTGTGGGCCGGGAGGCTGCTGTCTGAAGGTCATTCCGCTTCGGCTGGCCGTGGGTCTCGGGTAGCTCCCTGCCCCCTCTGCGCAGTGGGGCAAATTGGACCAGACGCTGTGGGAGGACCTTGGCGGGGGTGTTCTGTGACAGGGTCACCCTGACAGAAGTAAGGATCTGAGCAATGAAGGAAGGAGGTGGTGGGGTCTGACCTGCAGGGCCTCGGATGCCAGGCGGGGGGCTTTGAGCCTTGCTGTGAGAGGCAGTAGGGAGTCACTGAAGATCCCCTGCACTCACGGAGTGGGCACTGAAGCCCCTTCCTTCCCCAGTACCCAGAGGTCCTGCACCGCCCTCTTGGGGCCTCCGTCCTCCCTTGGGGTGTCCCGGGACACCAGAGCTTGCCCAGCTGTGCTCTCAGGGGGTTCTGCAATGGCTCATAGTGGAGGCATTAAGTGCGGGGCCAGGCCACGGAGCCCCTCAGCCTGGAGACCTCAGCTCCCTCTGCGTGGCTCAGCTTCAGGGAGGGCTGGTGCCATTGATCCCCCAGCCAGAGGGGAGCACGTCCGGAGCCGCAGGCAGCCATGCCAGCTCTGGCCTGACTTCTGGGCCTCACAGGCTCTTGGAAAGGGCCCAGACGCTGCCATCTGGGATTTCCCCGAGCGCCTCAGGGCAGGGCTGAGACTGCCCATGTCTGAACGTCTGCGGCTGAGCAATCTAGAGGTGAAAGCCAATCCATCTGCCCCCTGAGGGACTTGGTGCCCTCGGTGAGCTGAGCGAGCAGGAGAGGCAGCGCCACGCAGCTGCGCGCACAGTCGCACCGTTCGGGCTGCTCACTGACTGTGTGACCTTGGGCAAGTCACTCCACCTCCGCAGGCCTGTTTCCTCCTCTGCCCCCAGCGGGTTGTGATGAGAGAGCTAGGGCCACATCCCCAGGGGCCTGCCAGGCAGCAGGTGGGGTTACTGCCAAGTTCATTACTGTGATACTGGCTAGACCAGGTGATTAGGGAGCATGTCTAGGGAGAAGGTTGAACCACTACCTTGTGAGTGGGGAAAGGTGCTTCAAGGGAAGCTTTAGGAAGAGCGGGCAAGGAACTTGGCTATGAAGACGAGTGGGAGTTTACCGGTAGAAATGGTAGAGGGAAGGGAAAGTGCTTGCAGAGGATGCATGGGGACAGCCAGAACTTCAGTGCATGTCAAGGTCAGAGTCAAGGAGGCCTTGGGTGTCAGGCCAGGGAGGGTGACGGGGACCCTGGAAGGCTATTGAGGGGGGAGAGGCCTCCCAGGAGACTCATCGGGCGGTGGCCAATGGCAGGGAGAGGAAAGCGGGCTCTGGTTTTCGTATCCCAGCTCTTCCCCTTTCCAGTTGGTGACCTTGGGCAAATCACATTCCCCTTTGTGTCTCAATGTCCTCTTTTGTAAACCGGACTCAGAACAGTCCTGCAAGGACTAAACAAGATGACACTTGCAAAGCGCTCTGATCATGCAGGGCACACAGCGTGCCTGGCTCTTTATTGCGTGGGCAGATCAGGAGGGCGGAGAGCAGCTGGAAGCTCCACGGGAGGCTGTGCGGGTCCGGTGAGAGCTGCAGAGGGTGGGCCGGAGGCTTGGGGAGGGAGGGTGGTCCCCGGCACGGACAGCCCATGCGTGGCAGAGGAGAGCACTGGCCTTGGAGTCCAGCACGCCTGTATGAGTCTCTGCTCTGTACTTCCTAGCCGTGTGACCCAGGAGAGGCCCCTAGGTTCTCTGAGTCTTGGTTTTTCTCATCTCATCTGTAAAATGGGGCTGCCAACCTCTACTGCTCAGGGTCCTGGTGAGGAAGCAGTGGGGGTGCCAGGCCCCTGAGAGACCCTGTTAAGGGCATTTTGAACTTGAAAGTGACAGGAAGGGCAGAGGGAGCAGAGGAGGAGGCTGGAAGGCGAGAGCGCACGACAGGCAGGGGGCAAGGCTAGGGGGATGGGATGGGGAGGTTCACTGGTAATTAGAACGTTTGAACTCCAAAAAAGTTAATTAATGATGAAGCTGCTGCTGGAGCGATGCTCAGGCTAGAAGGGGGCCCTGGCAGCAACTCAAATTAATTACAGGCTGTGGCGAGAGAATGGCAGCAGGGTGTGGGGGGCAGGAAGGAGCAGGGCTGGGGCGAGGAGGGTCTGAAGGGGAGGGGGAGGGAAGGCAGCATCCCAAGGAGAGCAAGGGCCCAGGGGAGGGAGGGAGGCTGTTGCCAGGGCAACCTGGTCAGTCTCCCATCAGGCTGGGGTCTGGCGAGGGTCTGGCTGGTGTGGCTACATCGAGCTTACAGCAAGGCTGTGAAATTGAGGAGCGAGGGGTTCTGTTTGGAGACACTGAAAAATCACTAGCTGTCCTCCTGGGCTGGGCCCAGAGAGATTTACTTATCAATGCAACAGACATTTATTAGATACCTGTCACTGTCAGAGCTGTGAATGCAAAACCCCTGTCCCTTTGGAATGTGGGTTCAAGCTGCGGATAAAGACAAGGAACGTGTGGACGAGACACCTTCAGGGCATACGTGCTCAGAGGCCATAAAATGGGGAGAGGGTAGTGGTCCGGGGGGAGAGGGGGAGAGGGAGGCCATTCCTGGGAGAGAGATTGGGTGGGGGTTTCTCAGAAGAGGGGGCAATGAAGCTCAATGTCAGAGAGGGCAGTTCTCAAAGGTCTTGAGCAGAGTCTCCCAGGCAGAGGGACGGCAGGCGCGAAGGCCCGGGGGTGGAGCTTGCATGACGTGCCTGTGAGCCGGGTAGGGGCAGGAGGAGGCAGATGGTGGGCTGTGGTAGGCAGGGCCCTGCAGACCCCAGGGAGGGCTTTGAAGGCTCGCTGCCCACAGAGACAGGGAGCCATGCCGCCGGGGCTCAGGGCAGAGGAGGGAGGGGCTCTCGCCAAAGTTTCCAACAGTTCCTTGCTGCTGCAGGGAGGGTGGGCCACGGGGCCAGAGTAGGCCCGCAAGGAGGCACCCGGTCCTTCGTTGGGGAAATCCCGAAGTTTCAGAGGCGGGAAGGGGTTGTCTAAGGCCTCAGACCCTGTCAGCGCTGGGACTGGAGTTCAAATGCAGGCCCCTGGGTTCCCTGCCTTCACAGCACCGGAGCAGCGGTCCCCTTGCCCCGTGGCTCAGTTTCGGGCCGGAGTGGGGCTGTGCAGGCCGTGGGCCGCGTGTTCTACCAGCAGCCCTCTTCTTCAAGACAGGGCACCTACTTAAGTCCCTTGTTTCCTGGGGTTGCCCTTTTTAGACTGAGATACAGGTTTTCTGAGGCCCCTGTTTCTACGACTTGGCGGATTAAGAGCGGTGGGCCCAGGCCTCGGCCGGCTGGGTGCTGAGACTGGGCAGGGGTCACCCGAGGGGAGGGAGGGGGGGAGGGAGGGAGGGAGGTTTTGAGGAGAACGGCCAGCAGGGGTGGTGGCGGCTGGGGGAGCTGGGGCAGCCGGGGCAGCCTGCTCATCCTGATTCCAGGCATGGGCCCCGAGGCCCCGCCCAGGGCTGGGTGAAGAGACCGTTCTCAGACTCCCTTGGCCATTGGACGCTCTCCGCCTGGGCAGTCTGAGGAGGCGGGACCCTGCCTCGCTTGGTGCAGGGGCTGGAGAGGGCCTAGATCCACACGCTCCAGAGTCTGGAGACAAGCTGTAACCCGGCCACAGGCCAGGACAGAGGGATGGCGTGTCCAGCCAACCTCAGCCACACTGACGGGCCCTCCACAGGCTCCGGCTCCAGGCTTTGGGCAGGGACGGAGGGGGTGTGGGTCCGGGGAGGGAGAGGCGGTCGGAGGCGGAGAGGCCCGGGTACTGCAGAGACGGCCTGCCAGCCAAGCCCGCGGGGGCCTCTTCCTTCCTGGGCCTGATGGGAACTCTCAGGCTGGGCCAGGAAGGCAGGGTGGGGTCCTGGCACGTGGGGGCTTGGTGGGGTTTTGGTTCTCTGGTGGGTTTGGCACATGTAGCCATGTCTGGTGTGAGGGGGGTTGGCTGGCTCCAAGGTCTTTTGAGAACTTGGGCACTGAGCCATTCAGGGAGGGAGGTTAGAGATGGTGAGGACCAGGAGCGGGGCCTATGCCTGTGTTGGTGGTGGGTGCGGGGTGTTATGTTTCAGGGTGCCCTTGGCCCCCATGGCCATGGTTTGGTCCCCACTGTTTTGTCCTTGATTCTGAGTGCACATGGTTCGAATGTGTCAGCATGCTGGTGATCCTGCTGAACTGCGTGACACTTGGCATGTACCAGCCGTGCGACGACATGGACTGCCTGTCCGACCGCTGCAAGATCCTGCAGGTGAGGCTGGCGTGCCCCGCCCCGCCCTCCCACCGTGCCCCGCCCAGACCCTGTGTCCCGCTCCGGAACCTCACTCTGTCCCTTCTTCTTACCTTCCTCCTGCCCTGCAGGTCTTTGATGACTTCATCTTTGTCTTCTTTGCCATGGAGATGGTGCTCAAGATGGTAGCCTTGGGCATTTTTGGCAAGAAGTGCTACCTTGGGGACACATGGAACCGACTGGACTTCTTCATTGTCATGGCTGGGTAGGTAGTGCACCAGGCAGGTCTGAGCCTCTGGTGTTTGCCGGACTTAGTGTCAATAATCCATGGGTCTTCCTGGTGACAATGACGAAGCTACCTGGAGAGGCTGGGACGAACAGCCACTCCTTCCTCCCCTCCCTGGTAAGTCGTGTGTCCTGCGCTGTCAGCTGATGCTGGGTGTGTTTCACACTAACTAACCGTGTGACCTTGAGAAAGCCAGTTACCCTCTTCAAACCTCGGGTTCCTCATGTGTGACATGGGGATAAATGAGAGTAGCCACCTCAACACGAGCACCCAATAACTGTCAGCTGCTACTCTTGCTATTAGCCTAGATCACTCAGCAGACCAGATAAGCACAGATTCAAGCTCAGTCTGACTCCGCAATAAGATGGTTTCCACCAAGACATCGGCCACAGCCGGAGAGAGGCCAGCTCACAGCTTGGCCTGTTGGGAGTGCCTGGGCCTTACTCCTGCTTCTCTGGGTCCAGCCAGGCTGGCGGCTCATTCACGCTTTCACCTAACAGCCAGGGGTGGGGTGAGCTCCTTAATGTCACCGCTTTTGGACTGTAGGGGACAGCAGGGGATGGAAGACAGCAAACCCAGGCAGAGGCCCTGTCCTTCCCAGCTACCGTCTGGGCAGGGGCACCTGTGGGTGAATGTGTCACACACGCTGAGACGAGGACTCTGGGCAAAGTGTCGTGGTTCTCTGAGAGCATCTCTGAGCTGGGCTTGGGGGCGTGAGGACTTTCCTAAAGATGTGACACACAGCGCTGGTCCTGCTGAAGGCCGAGCGCCTAAGGATGAGTCAGTATGGTAGATGTGACACAGGGGAGAGAAAAAGGCTGGGGACCTGTGAGTGTGTGCGTGAGAATGTATGCACGCGCGCGTGGGTATGAGTGTGGGAAACCACTGAGAAGGGGAGGGAGGGTAGACAGGCGCACGGCTGAGAGGGGAGTTGGTACCGCTCAGTCTATGTGAAATTCCACAGATATGTCCTGAAGTGAAATGATGTGCCCACTTGTGTTGAAAAGAAATGTTACACTTCGTGCCCTGGCCGGGTGGCTCAGTTGGTTGGCAAGTCATCCCGTACACCAAAAGGCTGCGGGTTCTAATGCCCGGTCAGGGCACATGCCTAGGTTGCGGTTTGATCCCCTGCCAGGGTGCAAACAGGGGGCAACCGATCGATGTTTCTGTCTTTCTCTTCCTTCCCCTCTCTCTCAAGTCAATAAACATATCCTTAGGTGAGAATTAAAAGAAGTTACACCTCTTCTAAGCATCCTTTCTAAGAACTGTATTCAATTTCACAAGCACATTGTCAACCATTATGTAGACCTAACTGGAAGTTATGCGGGGTTCACGTGGTTTCTTGTGAACCTTGTCACCCCTTTGTCAAGTTCCTTATTCTCATCCTCATTTTGATTTTGGCTGGAGGATATCCTTAAGTCATTCGTGTTTTTATTTTGAAAGAAAAGGCGTTTGGGTAGTGTCCTTTTTCAGCCCTGTGTCTCCAAACATATTTTTCTCTCCTCTTTGTGTGTGAAGGATCGTTTTTGGCTGCATTGTTTTAGAATCACAATTTCTTCCCTCAGAACCTGGCACCCGGTACCCTTCAATTCTGCGCGGAGTATTGCCCGTGAGTCCAGCACAGGTCTGGTTCTTTCTCGGGAGACAGCCCGCTGACTTCTTGCTAGAGGCTCGCGGGGTTTTCTCCTTACCTTCAGAATTCAGACATTTCACGATGGGAGGGCTTGGTGTAAAAGGCTCCTTGCGGGCCTTTTAGAGCTCAAGGTCAGACAAAGGTTCTTTTCTTCCTTGTCTGGTCTCTCCTGAAATTCCCACTAAATGGGTACTTCGTGCCTCTTTCTATTCTGCACATCTTTCCTCTCTTCCCTTTCCGATTTCATCTGTGCTTGGGGAGGATTCCTGGATGCGGTCTTCTGCCGCGCTGACCACGTTCTTTCCTCTCCTTACTGCCCCCACTGGAAGCGTTTACCTCCTCCGTGTCTTCTTAATTCCCAAGACAGCTTCTTGTTCTGGAGCTCTTATTTTTCGGAGCAGCTTGGGCCTGTTCTTGTTTTCTGGATGCGATATTCTCTCGACTCTCCCGATCGATCCTCATTAGGCTCCTTAGAAATCCTTTCCTGATTCTGAGGTCAGAGCGTGAGTTCCAAAAAGTTTTAAAAAATGGCCCTCACAGCGATCTTAGAAGGAAGATGCATCACAGATTTATTCAACTCATTAATGAGGAACCAGCGGGATGGTAATTAGCAGAATTTGGAAAATGAGCACTGGAGAAAGAGGGTGGGGATGATAGCACCAGGTTATAATCAGGGCTGCTTAACAACTACAGGGTCGTAAAACCGTCACCTTTGGAGTTCTCTCTCCTACTGGGAAGAAATCACTAATAAAAAGCTACAAGTTAACAGGTAAATTCATGGCAGCCAGACCTTTAATGAACAGGAAATGGTGAATCAAATGTATATTCCCCGAACGAAATCATCCTTAGAAGAGTCTGCTGAATACTGTTCCGAAATGACATGGCGAGCAATACTGCCCTCCCTTTGCCTTATTTCCAAGTTTTAGGATAATTTTTCTTAACTCCCGTTTTGAAGAAGTCATGTGTTCAGCTGGCTCCACTTCCTGCCTCCGATGAGCACCCCGCCTTGACTTCAGGAGTCTATTGCTTAGCGACTGGTCCCCGCCCCCTCCTGTGTCTGCTCCTACTTATAAATGAAGACCTCTGCGGAGCAGGGCGGGGAGCTGGCCCGGCTTCAGCACTGCGGCGAGGTCTCTGTCCGGCCTCCTTTCGTGGTCCTCGGCGGGGCCCCCAGGCCAGCACCCTCCGGAGGGGGGGCAGGGCGAGCTGGGCGCACGTGCGGCTGTATAGGGCCCCGTGCTTGGTTTGATGCCCGGCGGTCACTGTTTAAAAATTCTTTATGCATTTGAACAAGGGACCCTGCATTTTCATTTAGCGCTGGGCCCCACAAGGCACGAAGCTGGTCCCGGCTGGGGGCAGGTACAGTGAAGACCCGCATGAGGGATGCTGGGGATTCAGGCGGCTCAGACCTGCCCCTGACCTCAGGGTCCTCTCCAGCCCTCGTGCGTGGGTGAAGAGGCAGGATGGGGGGCTGCGCCCTGAGCTCCAGAGTTCAGCCCCCTGGTCCTGCGCCCACTCAAGACCCATCCCCAGAGCTGCCCCAAGATCTGTCCCTTACAGTCCCAGCCAGACTTGCTGCTATAAATGTTCTGTTTCCCAAGTAACGGGCCTACCATCCAAAAGTGGATTTCTTCTTTCCTGCTCCTCCCCTTCCCCAAACACCTGGCTCCTTCCTGCCCCCTCGGAGGTCCCTGAGAGGTGGGGGCCTTCATCTCCACATGCAGCTGGCCCCTGCCCCCACCGAGCTGCCACGCGGGGACCGTCTCGCAAGGCGGCTGAGCCCAAACTGGGGCGGCTTCATGGGTTAACAAGTTCTCTTTTCCACGGTAGCTCCCACGGGGTGGAACCATTCATTCACTTATTCCTTCACAAAACCCGCATTTCTTGAGTACCTACGACACGCCAGGCCTTGTGCTGGGCAGTGGGGACAAGGCCGATCTCATGGAGCTCATGGTTTAGATGGATATAAAACAGAAAATAAAATGCTAAATAAATTCTAATTTGGGGTCAGTGCTGTAGCAAAGACGTATAGAGGGCCAATGGGGCGTGGCCTGGGGACCTGCCAGAGGCTGGGTGTCAGCACGTGGCTCCCAGGGAAGGGAGGCCTGGGCTGAGGAGCTGGTGAGTAGGCAGAGGGTGGGCCAGGGCACCTCAGGTGGAAGGTGCACTGTGTGGAGGGCCCAAGGGGGCTGTTTGAGGAAGGGCAGGAGACAGAGGGGATGTCGGGGCCTCGGGTTCCCAGGGGTCAGTGGGGCTGGGGGACGAAGCCGGTCGGGGGAGAAAGGCGGGGGCAGGGGCCTGATCCCATGGACGGCCTGGTGCTGGCGGGCAGGGGCGTCCCTGACAGACGCGCGACGGCCCTTCAGAGTTTGTAAGGTGGCTCCCTTCCTTCCTGAGTTGCCCGTTTTCCACATGAAGTGTCCCCAGTGCCTCCCACCATTTGTCAAAAGACAGATGAGAAGGCCTCGCCTGCTGGACTTGCTCCAAGTGACCAAGGCAGTCCTGGTCCCCGGCCGGGAGCGGGACCCCAGCCTCCCAGGAGGACTCAGGAGGACGGGCTGCCTTTGCCCCAGGGTCCTGCAGGTCGTAGCATCCTGTGGAGTGGCTGGGCTCCCTGTCACCCCCAGGTCGTGTTCGACTTCCACGCCAGGCCTCTCCCCCTGGGAACTGAACACAGCTCCACACCTTGCACTCATGGCTGATTTCGCTGCACAGTGATCACTTGGAGACCGGCCTCATTCCATTTACTTCCCGCGCTTGCTCAGCCCCAGACAGCGGGTCCTGTGGCGCCTCGCGAGACGCTCTCCTCCAAAGTGTGACAAAGCCCGGGTAATCATCGGGCAATAGTTGACCCACCTCACTGTCTCATTTGAGCTACGCTTTTCTGTCTTTGTCCATTAGGCGGTCATGAAATATTCAATGACATTCTTGTTGAACTAGAGACATTGTTTTCCTGCATATCTCCCTTGGTCCCTCATGCTGGTAATTCTACCTCCTCCCCTAAACCAAAACATGAAATGGACAGTGCTAGCTGTCAGGAGGGGCTCGGGCACGTTCGTATGAAAGGCTTCCCCAAGAACCCCACCGCTGTGTGTCCAGCGTGAGCCAGGGCTGGAGGGCGAGCGGGGGCGCTGGGCTGCAGGGACTGCTCCAGAACGAGGCTGGGGAAGAGCCTCGCCAAGGGCCTGGCTGGCACGAGCCCCACCTTAGATGAGGGCAGGGAACAGGAGCTGCCCTGAGTCTCGGAAAACCTTTTAAAGCCGCTGATTGAGGCTGTGAAAGCATCAGATGGAGCAGCAGAGGGACAAGTGTCAGCAGGCTGGTGAAGGAAAGGGCGACGTCCCCA